TCAAAAACTGTGTCCTTAACATTTAACAGTCTAAACATCAATAGTGAGAGCGGATTACAATTGTGGAAGCAAACTTTAACACGTTCCCCAATGGCTTCTGCCTCCTACTGTCCAAGCCCTAGTCAACCCCTCTCCTCGTGTGGGGAGGGCCTAAAATCCTGATCCTAGAGGAGTCTGGCAAAGGTAATAAGACACCATGATTAGGTTACATAAAGTTAACTACCATCTTAAAGACTGAATAGCCTGCTTGGCCTGCATGATTTAATGAAGCAAGAAATCCACGTGGCAAGGAATAAAGAGTGGCCTTCAGCCAACCACCAGCTAAGAAACAAGACTTTCAGTCCAATAGCCCTTGAAGAAAAGAATTCTGCCAACTACCTGGAAAGCTTGGAAGTTAGTCCTTCCTCAATCAAGACAACATCCTCAATTAGACAACATCCTTGATCAAGACTTTTGTCCCTGTGAGAGATCTTAAAGTAGAGATGCCAGGTCAGCTGTGCCAAGAGTTGTGACTCCAAAAATCAAAGATATTAAATGATTCCTATTAATATTAAAGGCATGTTAGTAAGCATGATTGTGGCAAACACTTCACAATGATTGTATGTATGAAAATATGTTGTATATTATGTAAGCATTTCACTTTAATTGACCAAATATAACAGAATGAAGGAGACAGATGGAGGATAAAATGTATATATTTGAAAAGAGACAGACATGAAAAAAACTTAAGAGGCCGGAGTCTAAGCTAAGGCATAAGATAGATCTCAATGTAACGGTCAAGACTCCTGAGCTAATGAAGACTTAAAAAAAAAAAAAGCCATTTAAAAAAAATTCTGGTAGGGGATAGTAGTTCACATCTCTAATCCCAACACAAGAAGACAAGGAGGATAAATGTGGGCTAGATCATGAGACCCTCAAGTCTGTTCTTGAGTATGCCCCAAACCCTGGGAGTGGGGGATGGGGGTGGAAGCTCTTCTGTTCTGACCAGCCAGACTGAAGAAACCTAAATGAGACATTCAAAAGAAACTAAACATGCAACTTAGCCCCAAGAAGCTAAGTCATTTATACTGAGAAACTCTACCAGGAAAAAAGCCACATGAAATCTATCCTAACAAATCTCAAGACTCCATGACAACAGCATAAAGCTGATTTGCAAAATAAGCTCAGTAATTTCTAAGAAGAAAAGAAATATGGATGTCGAATAAATATAACATTCAGTGTCCAAACTAAATTGAAGGTGAACATGGTGGCACAAATCTGCAATCCTGGCACTCAAGAAGCTAAGAACAGTTTGGAACGTAGCAAGATCCATCCTGTCTCAAAACAAAGTGAGAAGTTTCCAAAAGAAAAATACAGAAGCTGAAAAGGTAGTTTTACAAGATAGGATTTTTTTTTTTTTTTTTTTTTTTGCCTACAGATTAAACACTGTAGAGAAAAAAGTGAAAAAGTAAAAATATGAAAATTAAGTTGGTAGGCACACACACACTTTTGGTCCTTAGGCAGAGGCAGGCATCTCTGAGTTAAAGGGCAGCCTAGTCTACAGAGCAAGTTTTAGGATACCCAAGGCTACACAGGGAAACCCTGTCTCTAAAAACTAAAACCAACACCAAAAAACAAAAATTTAAAAAATAGAAGGAAGAGAGAAAGCAAGCAACCGGTTAAGAAAGATACCAATACACAGAGGAAGAGAGAAAGCAAGCAAGCAGGAAAGAAAGATAGCAATACACAGTGCTACTCACCAAGAGGTGGAGACCAAGAAAATAACAGGGCTGGAGAGACAGCTCAGAGGTAAGAGCACTGACCACCTTTCCAGAGGACCGGGGTTCAATTCCCAGCACCTACATGGCAGCTCGAAACTATCTGTAACTCCAGTTACAGTACATCTGAGACTCTCACACAAACATACATGAAGGCAAAACACCAATTTACATAAAAATAATTAGTAAGTCATTAAAAAAAAAACCAACAAAACCTCAATGACTTTTAAACTATGAACTAATGCGACATGTATCTATATAGCGTAACATATATATATAATTAGTCACAGAGAAGACATGGTGGGAAGGGCAAAAAAACAAGCAGAAAATGCTTCTGGGGGCTCTGTGAGTAACTCACAGTAAAGTGCTTGTGTAAGCATGAAGCCCTGAGCTTGGTCTCAACACCCATGTAAAAGTTACATGGTAGTATGTGTTTACAAATACCAGGGCTGAAAAGGTGGAGGCAGGCAGAGTCCTGGGCTCACTGAGCAGCCAGCCTATGGTGTGCTCCTGGCTAACCAATGAGAGATCTTGCCTCAAAGAATTAAGTAAAGGGTGCTTGAGAAGTAATACCTGAAACTGACCTCTAGTCTCTACACATACGTAGACACAGACACACAAATAATTTTTGTGCAAAATAGATGTAGCAAAGTTCAAAGCTTGCCTTATATGTAGGAAGCATTGAGTTCAATCCCTGGTGTGATGATGACAACAACAACAGAAAGGAGGGGAGAGGAGAGGAGTAGGAGGAGGAAGAAGAGGAGAAGAGAAGAAGAAAAGGAGGTGGAAGACAAGGAGGAGTAAAAGTAAAATGAGATTCTTAGGAGGAACACTCTGGAAGCTGAGACAGAAGGATCACCTGAATCCAGAAGCTTGAGAATTTCTATAGCTCAACAACAATAACAACAAAAGGCAAGTAACTCAATTTTAAAATGGGCAAAAACCCCTGAGGATCTCTCTGTGACAGTGGTATTCAACTTGTGGATCATGACCCCTTTAGGGGGTTGAACTACCCTTTCACAGGAGTTGCATATCCAATATTTATGTTACAATTCATAACAGCGGAATTACAGTTATGAAGTAGCAACAAAAATAATTTTATGGTTGGGGTCACCTCAACATGAGGAGCTGTATTAAAGGGTCACAAAATTAGGAAGGCTGAGAGCCGCTACTCTACAAGGATATGCAAATGATAACAAACACACAAAAAGACTGTTCAACATTAGGAAATGAAAATCAGAACATACATCCAAGTGGCAAGGCAACTTAAAAGACATGGAGCCAAGCAGACTCCTCAGTAAGAGGCCAAGACGACCAGAGGTATGTGCCCTCACGTCAAAGTACAAAACAATATCGGGACAAAAACTCAGAGTACAAAGTATGAAAAAACAGGAACCTTTAACATGTTTCTGGAGAAAATACAAAATAGTTCAGAAATTGTGGAAACAAGTTTGGCTAATCTCTCAAAGGTAAATATAGAATAACCATATGACTACACTGCAATCCTGCTTACTCATATATACACATGAAACAACTGAAAATAAGCACTCAATCACATACATGTACATATATTCACAGCAGTAGTTTTTCAAAATAGTCAAAAGGTTCAAATGGCCTAGATAATTAAGTGAATAAAAGAAATTGTTCTATATGTTAAATAAAACAGTATTAGGTAATAAAAACAAGTTGATACATGCTATAACATGAACCCAGAAAGTATTATACTGGGTAAAAAAAAAGCCAGAAGCAAAATATGAAATATATAGAACAGGAAACACATATAGACAGGATGTTGACTGGCAATTGCTGTGGGGGAGAAATAGAAACTACGTAACAGGTAATAAACTTTACATGGTATAATGGAAATAATTTTAACTATGATGAACATTTTTAAATGCATATTACAGGGCATGGAAATGGACATCTATAGCTCACACATTCAGAAAGCTGAAACAGAAGGATACATTTAAAGCTAGCCTGGGCTACAGAGCAAGACCTTGGCTTTTTTAAAACAAACAAACAAACAAACAAAAGGATATTTTAACCTCTAGGGGAACAATTAAAACAAAATTCCTAGTATGCCAACAAAAGAAACAGAATACCAAAAAATGACTAATCCATTAAAGACAAGTTTAAAAACAGATAAGACAAATAGAAAAATGGATGTTTTAATCCTGTCAATATCTACATTTAGATGTGTGTGTGCGCGTATGTATGTGTGTATGTGTATGTGTGTGTATGTGTGTGTGTGTGTATGTATGTGTGTGTGTGTATGTGTGTGTATGTGTGTGTGTGTATGTGTGTATGTGTGTGTGTATGTGTGTGTATGTGTGTATGTGTGTATGTGTGTGTGTATGTGTGTGTATGTGTGTGTGTATACTACATAATACAAAACACTAGTCACACATGGCAACTATGGACTTGAATGATGATACGTTCTAAATATAGCTGTTTAAATACCTACTGAATTTATTTTGTAAAGGTAAAACACCATCAACAACTTTATACTGAATTCATGTTGAAATGATAGTATACTCAGTCAAAATATATTAGAAAAATGTGAATTGCTTTTTTCACATCCTTGAAATTGCTTCAAAATTTCAAAGTATTCCAATCTCCCTAACAACAAAAGTTCTAAATGATAAGAAGCAAAATAGAATATATAGCTCAGTGGTAGAATACTTATCTACTGTGTGAGGCCCAGAAATCAGTATCATGCACAAAAGAGGAGAAGGGAAGGAAGGAGGGAATGACAAAGGGAGGGAAGGAGAGAAGGAGGGAAGGAGGGAGGGAGAGAGGGAGAGAGGGAGAGAGGGAAGGAGGACATACAATTCTGCATCCATAGTTTGAGATTTTAACACTTATCCTTCAGGTACTTGAAGTGAAGATTGCAGTAAGTGAACTTGACCTGATGACTGAACCTCAGGCACCACACCCATCAAGTACAGTAACAGACGCCTGAAAGCACTCTGTTACCATGGCACAGCTTAAGGTGGACCATGACCAGTTCAGAAGAATGACGCTGCAGGATGTACTGCTGAGCAGCATAAATAATGAGAGTGTAATCAAGGGGTCTTGGTTCCATGCATGACACAGTAAGCTCCCTCTTGTATCTCCCATGGAATGCAACTAACACAAATGGCAGAATATAGGGAGCAAATATGGAGGACTCTAAAAAATAAACATTAGCAAGTGGGTGGGGAAGAAGACTTTAACATAGTACTGAACCAACAGTGAATTTACCTTTTTATTATTCCTCCAATATCCACCAGCCGGAACTGCAGCCTGAAACCCAAAAGTGAGCATCAGTGTAGGCAAAGGCTCCAAAAAAAGCCTGACTTCAAGTTCTGTAGGGTATCTTGAGAGAATAAAAAACTCATCTTTTACTTTAAATTCACTGCATTCTCTCTAAGCCATCCCATGACAAAAGTCACCCAAAACTCTGAAATAGAGGCCTTTTTCTATTTAATTTGGTAAAGGGGAGGGTTCAGAGCTTCCTCCCTTGTTTCCATCATCCCCAACTCCCACCCCTCATTCCTCTCATCATTTATTCTCAGATGCAATAACATTTTCAGGCTTAAATAAAGCGCTGCTTTTCTAGATGCAGGACTGAAATTAGTAGCCCTAAGAACCCAGACAGGACTGATCCTTGCACTGAGGAAGACACCAGGAAAGCAATCCTATAGCATTACTGATTCCAGTGTTCACTGAGAAGTACAAACAGGTGGATGCAAGCTAAAGACTCTTAGAACTGAGATATTAGACAGACCACCAGCCAGACCCCAGGGTAGCCAGCAAGTATCATGCAGAGTGAATCTCAATGCCATCTGCAGAGGCTTTCTTACTGCAATAGACAGTAAGCCCACAAATTCACAATCCTCTTATCATAGCCTCCCCTAAACATTGCGATTACAAGAGTGCATCACTATGGACAAAATGGCTATATATATAAAAAAAAACATTATTAATCAGATTAGAATAAAATGCAGAGCCTTGTAATATTAAAAGTGCCAATGATAGTCAGGTGGTGGTGCTCAACTTTAATCCCATCATTGAGAGGCAGAAGCTGGCAAATCTGAGTTTGAGTCCAGCCTAGTCTACAGAGCATGTTCTAGGACAGGCAGGGCTACCCAGAGAAACTGTCTCAAAAACCAAACAAGAAGTGTCAATGATAAACCAAATTTACATACCAAAAAGGAAGAAATTTCAGCTTTGTCAGCAAATGCCAATACCAAAATAATAGATGTTGAAATAAATGGTAAAAATATAGCTAGAATGAAAACGTTTCAATAACTAAGGGTAAAATTTTTGAAATAAAATGTACTTGCAAAAGAAACAATAAATAAAGTGGAAATGTAAGAACTGAAAACAAGTTTAAAACTCATCGAATGAATGCAAACAGTAGCAGAATGAAGACTGCAAGCATACAAGCAAAAAAACTTCAACAAAATATTGACAATATCCAGCGACATATAGACATGGAAAAATCACTGTCTTGGGATCTAAAGATATTTGATACTTGGCTCTAGTCCTTATGGGACTTGACTGCCCATCTTCCCTTTAGTTCTACGAACTATCTCCACCCTTTAATAGTTGACCATCCTTACTTAAAGGAGAATTAAGCAACTTGACATTTGAAACAAGAAGCAACTGATAAAGACACATAATTCCAAAGAGCTTTTATCTCATAGAAAACATGAAATTTAAAAAGTTAGCCACATTTTAACATGTTAAAGTGTTCTACGGGTACTTTTTTTAATGATTTTGTGTGTGTGTGTGTGTGGCTGTTTTGTCTCCATGTATATCTGTGTGTGTGTCTGGTGTCCATGGAGGGCAGAAGGCACTGGATCCCCTGGAACTAGAGTTACAGATGGTTGTACACAGTCATGTGGGTTCTGGGAACTAAGGCCAGGTCCTCTACAAGTGCTCTTAACCACTAAGAGGCATCTCTCCAGCCCCCACATTTTTGTTTGCTTGTTTGTTTCCGAAACAGGATCTGTCCATTATGGTATCCTGGCTGTCCTGTAACTTACTATGTACACCAAGCTGGCCTTAGACTCACTGAGACCATCTGTATCTGCTTCCAGAGTTCTGGGATTAAAGGTGTGCACCACCACTCCTGGTCAGTCCCCACACCCTAATATTTATAAACATTTAGAAAGCAGTGGACAAAGCCCTGCATGGATTCTGCTCACCTCTGACTTCAGCACTTGGGAAGCAGGAGGATTAGCAGATTCAAGGCCAGTACAGGCTACAAAAGAAGACATGAAAAGAAAGACAATGCTGCCCAAATTAGGATTAAACTGTTGCTAGCTTGATATGCCCACAGAACTCATCTGTTCTTTATTTATCACCTTGGGAAGCCATGTCCACTTTAGAACACGTGGATTATTATATAACTTTTTTTAATTTTTAAATTATTTATTATTTATTTTATGTATATGAGTACACTGTAGCTGTCTTCAGACACACCAGAAGAGGGCATCAGATCCCATTACAGATGGTTGTGAGCCATCATATGGTTGATGGGAATTGAACTCAGGACCTTTGGAAGAGCAGTCAGTGCTCTTAACTGCTGAACCATCTCTCCAGCCCCAGAAAACTTTTTTAAGACAGTGTCTCTTTATCCTAGGTTGGCCTGGAACTTACTACATAGACAAAGAGAACCTTGAATTCCTCTGACCTTCCCTGCCCACACTTCCCCAGTTTTGGGAAATCTTATAGTAAATTTATCAAGTGCCAGATATAATTTATATTAATACAAATAAAAGTAAAACATAAGCATTAGGCAATTAAGAAAATTAGAATGCTGATATAAAAAATATTTTCATATATGCTAGGGTTCTTGTCTCTTGCCAGTGGCTTTTAAGATGTTTTGTTTTCTGAACTAAAACAGAACAGTGAAAATGGTTTTATAGAAAGTTGAAAAAATCTATGTATTAATTTGCTTTGGGTCATTCTAGTCTCTCTGGTAAGCTTATAATTAGGAAGGCCTTTTTAGGGCTGTGTTCTAATCTCACAGGTGCAAAGCTATTCCATATCTGGAAAATCTAAATTCATATATGAGGAGGTTGTGTTTTTAAAGCATATTATTTACACAATTCACTGGAATGGCTCCTCTGAAATCTGGGTGGCTCTCTTATGCAATTATGTACTTAGGAACCTTCCTCTGCACAGCCATGGAAATTCAAGTAAGAATAATTTACTGATTATGCACAGTTATTAGAATTTTAAAGCATTTGTTTGTTCAAAATTCTAGTTTATCAGATGGTTAGAACTGACTAACTGTGTCCTTAATAAATAATAAGGGACGAATGCTTTAGAAGGTAGCCAGGCTTGAACTGCAATGTTCTAAGGAAGCACCGGGAGCTACTTCCCTCCCTTCTATTAAGGAGATTTCCCCCCACCCCCTTTCTATCTACCAAGCTTTGTGGTGGAATTAACAACTGGGATTCTAAACATCTGTATTAGAATACTGACTTCAATTACAGATGCAGAACTATATCTGTAAGAAACTGTTAGAAACATTTTAACAGTGAGGAAGCTAAGGAGCATAGAAATTAAGACTGTTGAATTTGGAAAAATAAAATAACTATTTTTTAAAATTAGATAAAATGTTAAACATTAGCAGACAACAAGGCATCATAGCATTATCTAGAGACTAAATATTTTCAATACCAAAAAAGTGATTTAGGGCTGGGGATGTAGGTCATTTGGAAGACGTGTTTGCCTGTGTGGCAAATTGTCTCTGCCATGGAGGGCGGCTGCCACCTCTGTGCGTTCCTGTATTTACAACCTAGTTTTCTTTGCCTGTTTCTCCTTTTCATTCCTTCCCTGTCTTCCATTGCTGAGACATGCACTCAGCCTGACCTTCCCAGTGAGAACTGTGATCATTCCCAGCACCTTGAGCAGTGGCACACACTTGTAATCCCAGAACAGGAGAAAAGGGGACGGAGGGTCAGAAGTTCAAGGTCCTCTTCTGCCACACTGTAAGGTTCTCTGCCTCCCAAGTGCTGGGACTAAAGGCATGCACCACTACCGCCCGGCGAGATTTTTTTTAAAAGTCATTCTGCTAGTCAAGCAGCCCACCCTTTAGTCCCAGCACTCAGAAACAGATGGCAAATTTCTGTGATTTTGAGGCTAGCCTGGACTACATAAGGAGTTCCAGGTCAGAGCTACATAATGAAATCCAACCTCCTCTCCTGACTCCCTTTCTCTAGAGTGCATGCACACACATGGACACACACACATTTTAATACACATGTGCAGGAAAACAAGCTTAATGAACAAATTTATGGACACAAGTAGACAGTATCTTATTTTTCCTAGAAGAGAATAAAGTCTGCTTATTCACATTTTCTTTGCCATGCCACTTAAAAATTACCTGCTTTGGATCCCTGTATTTTTTTTTAAAGATTTTATTTATTTTATGTGTACGAGTACACTGTAGCCATCTTTAGACACACCAGAAGAGGGCATCAGATCCCATTACAGATGGTTGTGAGCCACCATGTGGTTGCTGGAAATGAACTCAGGACCTCTGGAAGAGCAGTCAGTGCTCTTAACCGCTGAGCCATTTCTCCAGCCCCAGATCCCTGTATTTTGTAAGTGCTCATTTTCACATAGAAAAATTGCAATCACCTCAAATTACAAAGTTTTTTGTTTAATAACCACAAAAGATTATTTGGTTAGATTGCAATTTTACTGTATTAAAGTCAAGTTTAAAAAATCCAGTCAAGCCAGGCAATGGTGGTGCACACCCTTAATCCAAGCACTTGAGAGACATAGACAGGCAGATTTCTGTGAGTTCGAGGCCAGCCTGGTCTGCAAAGTGAGTTCCAAGACAACCAAGACTACAGAGAAACCCTGTCTTGGGAAAAAAAAATCAAGTCAAATCTCATTTCAATAAGCCACAGAAAAGAAAATGTCCAAATTTCTTATTACCCTAAACTTTACTGCATTAAATATTATTTTAAATAAGTAGGCCAACAGCTGAAGGTTTAAGAAATGAAGAGCTGGCCTACCTATACACACACTTCCAATGATCACAGTTCTCATTGGGAAGGTCAGGCTATGTGCATGTCTGAGCGATGGAAGACAGGGAAGGAATGAAGAGGAGAGAAACAGGCAAAGAAAACTGGGTTGCGAGCCAGGCAGTGGTGATGCATGCCTTTAATCCCAGCACTTGGGAGGCAGAGGCAGGCCGATTTCTGAGTTCGAGGCCAGCCTGGTCTACAGAGTGACTTCCAGGACAGCCAGGACTACACAGAGAAACCCTGTCTCGA